GACCTAGAAAACAGTAAAAACACAAAAATACAGAGCACAGACAAATACACAAAAAATATGTCCCAATAAAAATTTCACACAAAAAAGAAGTTAAAAATAAACACAATTATTGGCAAATTACCTGCTTATTAAAAATAGAAATAGAATTCGGAATAAAAGTGCCTGTACCTAGATGTACGAGAACGTGGTACACAAAATCTTATGCCAGACCTATTGTAATAAAAAAAAATATTGAGAGGGTGTGTTTGATTAAAGAGTATCAACTTGTAAGTAAAAGACATCTTTCAATCATTATGCAATCAAATATGGTTTTAATAGGGTTATATCACAGATCGTGGACATAAAGGTCATTTAAGACTGGCAATATTTAAACAGTAATTTGACCAATTTCGCAGAGAGCATTTCACCTAATTCTGCAGCGTGAGTAGTGTTTTCAAGTACATATTGCAGTGGGAAACAGGATTTACAGGATTTTAACAAGTACAAATTGTGACTAAAAAAAGAAATACAAACTTTTGAAGCCTATGATTTACCATTTCCAATGTGATAAAAGCAATATCTGTGATCTTATATTTCAATTTATAGCCACCATCCTGTTATCAATCAATCAATCATTTATTAGAACATACACCTTTAGATCGGTGGCACTCAAAATCATTTGGTGCGTTCTAAGTGAATTAAAATTCTTAGCTACAAGTACAAAAAAAAAATAAAAAAATTACGAAACAAAGTAAGGGAATCTTAAGTAAAAATGAAATAAACACAAGTGAGTAGTGCTGCTGATGAGGCAAGTAGCTCCCCGAAAAACATGACAAGGAAGTACAACCTGCCTTGCCTGTCACAAATTTTGAAGAGCCACCTGTACCACCAACAAACTCAACAATAATGTTAAGGCAAACAAAATTAATTAGTTACAAAAAAAAAAGGAAAATACAGTAATACAGATACTTAATCTACGATAAAGTTTGCAAGTGCTTCAATTCAGATCTTTTTCTCCACGCTCGTTTTCCATAACTTTTACAAAATTCATCAAAGTATTTCTCTACTTCATTTGTCATGG